TATTCAGACAGCAATATCGTATGAACAAAAAATTGTATTGTAAAAACTATTTTACAAACGTGATTTTATTAATTTTGTTGCACATTTTTGACAAACACTATCGACTTGTAAATGAGATGCAAACAATTTGGTTGTTTTCTGTTTGAAGTGTGGTGCCGGAGGCCTAATTTAAGTCCCTTTCTCTTTACCACCCTTTTCTTTTAAGAAGGGGATGGGAAGTGAAAGTGGTGTTGACGGAGGATGAGATACATAGGAAGGGGAGATATACTTTTCATGTGCATCTCCACCTCTGTCGGATAAGGGTAGGCAAAGCATCTGCAATTGCGGATATCTATGGGCAACGGTCGCTTCGCCATTTTGGTTGATTCAGGTGGCCGCTTGCTCGTTTGCTACCTTATGTTACAAAAAAAAGCAATGATAATTACATTAAATATAGTAAATATCGATTTTCGTTATTAAAATCTAAGAACTTTTAACGTTAACAGTTTTGTGTTTGTAACAAACAGTGCCGTAACAAATACAAAATTTTTAAGTATATATAAGTTTGGAAGCAGGTGTGTGGAACTACATTACTTTGTGATGAAACATAAATCTCAATATTCCTCCTTCTTACTCTTATACATTTTATTTATACTTCTATGTTGATTCTCGAATTGGTTTTTACTGTTTACTATTCCTATAAAATACTGGCTGTGTTCTCGCGACTTCACCCGCGTGAACATTATAAAAAATAAAAATATTGTAGCCTATGTTAGTCGCAAATAAATGACCTTTCTAATGGTAAAAGAATTTTTAAAATTGGCCCAGTAGTTTTTGAGTTATTTCAATACATACTAAAATACAAAACTTCCCTATTATATTACTATAGATAAAGATGTATGTACTGAGTAAAGCTGTACCGATTCACTATCAGAAGAAACATAAAAAATAAGCCAGAGTTTAGACTGCCAGTTGTAATAAGAAATAAAAATGTGCCACACATTTCTAATAAATCAATATAAAATATTGAGTTTAAGATTTATGTAAGACATAAAGTCCACAAAGAGTTCGAAACAAAATTTATAAAGATATTATCCTCAGTCCTTACTCGCAGTCTTGTTTTATGAAGTTAGTTTCAGTGATCGTTACATTTATGGAGTTTGCGGACTAGCTTTTGCTTACATTGATATTGTTGTGTGCATGAGGTTAAATTTGTAAAGAATTCCTTTTTACAAAAAATAATCATCTTTACTCACACCCACGGTAATTGATGGGCTTGGAGCCTAGGTTAGAAATGGCCTTAGTGGACCTCGCTTGGTAGTGCCGGTTGGTCAACTTCACATATATCTTTGAATGTTTTCTGAGATATGTGCTGGCTACATCGTGATGTTTTCCGTCATCAATGTCGGATTTTATATATGAAATTTGAAAATCGAAATATAAATTGTTCCAAAACGGGAACCAGGAATTATAGATTTTGCTTCTACATAATAAACAAATGAAATAGTACGAAACAAACGATATTTATGCACCTATAAACCATACGTGTAGATGTGTCAACATGCTCTTGTTTGCACGTGGCAAGTAAATTCAGACTGATTTCCCTCATTGGCGTTATTGTTTGAGTCCGTCGTATCACGGGTACAATAGATTGGTATGCCAACCTTTATTAAATGTTTGAGTGTAAACATTGTTCAAGAAGTAATTGAAATTTATTTACTAGCTCGAACCTTTTTATTTTTCTACGTTTCAAGATAAAGTTCGATTAAATACTTATTTGGACTTTATTTGAAGTCGCTGAACTAATTTTGATTATCGGATCCTGGAAATTTACTAAACTGTAGTTACAATTACTCCCAATAGATGGCGGTATAATCAAGTAGTTCTTTATTATTTTGTAGAACCTTATCTTTTTTATTAATTTGCTTAAAAGGCAAGATCACCTTACAGTATTGCTAAGAAACAAGTAAGTAAGAATGTATTTGTTATAAATAATGAACGTTTATCTTGATTGTAACGTCTTTATTATTAAAAGCATTATCTCACGTATGTTGCTTCCGTGGCTTGTATAGAGGCGTTTGAAATTAGGTCGTTGTACAGATTGCGGAACCCAAATAGTTCGGTGGCTTGCGGCCATACGCGGCAGCTGCTCTTGACATGTTGAAATATTACAATACAATACGTATGCTCTTGAACTGAACGTTTACTATACAATGTTATCTTAAATATTTTTGTTTTCCAAAGATATCTCCTTCTCTTTCTCTCTCAAGGGTTTCAGGTATTTTTGTATTACACGTTTTGTGGATTTGTACAGATCGAAATAATGCCACTATTAGTTGACAAATAAAGAACTGCAAATTTTAAACAACAGACTTTCTTCTAGAAGATTCATCTTCACTTTCTACATAAACAAATATAAAAATCATTTCATTATAATTTGAAATGTAATATTTGTAAGGTATGTGACATTTACATGCATGTTTATGAAAGGTAGTCATAAATATTACCTGCAGTTGATACTACCTCCCTCGACGCTGGATCACCGAGCAATATGAATTGAAAAATGTCAGTAATAAATCCACGTGATGCGACGGCACGTAATGTTAAATGCGGCCCCGTACGCTGCACTTTGCGCATTTCCCTGAATGTAATAACGTCTGGAGCATATTCTTGTATTACATCAAATGCTTCATCTTCTTAGAGTACACGGAATATGTTTGTACATTTTAATTCAAGCAATACTAATTTGTTCCTATATTCAATGCTAACTTTTGCCCGCAACTCCGTCTGCCTGAAATTACAAATAACAATAAATAAATGAAAAATACAGACTATTTTACTCACAGATAAATAACCTTTTTAACGGTGAAAACATTTTTAAAATCGCCCCAGTAGTTTTTGAGCCTATTCATTACAATACAATCAAACAAAGTTTTCCTCTTTATAATATTAGACAGAGCCATCTATTGTCAGTTAATTAATGCGTGCTGCTAAAAACGCACTATTATGACACTACCGCACAACTGTTGTGCGATTGTCGATTGTTTCGCAGCCAATTCAACTGTTTAGTTGCACAACTAAAAGTCGAGTAGTGTGTGCACCTCCATACAAAGCGAGACTAAACAGTTGTGCCATAGTTTACAGGTGTACGCACATTCTTAGTCTTCGTTTAGTCCGAGGCAATCTATTATGTCAAGATCTTTGAATACAGACGTAAAATATTAGATTTCTTTTACTTATTAAAATAAAGGCACTCATGTATGACTAAATATAACTTTACATTACACATATTTATAGAGCAATAGTTAAACTACGTGCAAAACATTTTCGTCCCGTCAAACCGTCGTTTTCAGTTGACGAAGGTTGTGACACGCTTGGCGTTTGTTACTTGCGACAACTTTTACATTCAGTTATTACATTAATGGACTATTGTGGCATAGTAAATGAGAGGCCAAGGTTCGATTTTGTTTGAAAAATGTTTATAGTTTTTTTGTTAATATAAATATTTTTCGCATCTAAAGACGTTTCTTATTACGTCAATGTAACAAAAGGCAGACAGCGTTAAAAAAATGTAATAACTTGCCTGTATTTACATATTTTTGTGATAACTTAATAGTTTTTTTAGTAAATCTGATAAACCCGTTTATTTTTGTAGTAGAAAATGTTACTAAATCAGTTTATCTATGTATTATAACTTGTAAATAAGAAAAGTAAGTATACAATATTGAACATAATATAAAAATGCGGATATCAGATGTGTAACGAACTGAACTGATGCGGAATCACGTAGCTTGTTAGCGACAACTCGTCATATGCGAAATATTGTATATGAAATATCCTCAACTCTGATCTACGTAAATCATATTTAAGGATAGATAAGCTAATCTGATATATTTACCTTAAAGAAAAGGCCATTAATAATGTAAATAGGCACATATTTCTAACATCAAAACTCTACAATACTTGAATTAAAACATGTTATTATCTCTGTTTTCCCAAAGAGAATGACAAGGATGACAATAAGTTTATTAAGTCAATTGTTTTAAAAGATACATCATATGTTTATCTTAAAGCCTTTCTTTTCTTTCTTTCGTAAACAAGGCGTTTTTAATCAATTTACGCATTAAATTTCATAAAGGTTCGATACGCGTCGTCGACATTTTTGTTAACGCTAAAGCCAGTCGCTCACTACCTATTTGAAAAGATCATCTTGAGAAAATTCGCCGCAAGATGGCGCAGCAAGTCTATTCAGTTGACAGTTTTAAGTAGAGTTATGTGTAACCCCTATACCTTTAGACCGCGTAATTTTAAAGATTTACATTGTCTTGTACTCAGAGTTGTCTAACATGACTAAACTAGTATATGAGATTTCTACATTACACCTTTGCAAAACTTTATTTTATTCTTTTTACCTTTCTTGTTATTTAATTTAATTAATTACTAAGTATGTTAGTAAAGTTCTACTGTATTCTGAAACAATGTTTTTTAATTACTTTAATATGCTTACAAATGTTATCCGTGCTTAAACTTAGCTCGTGCTTAATTAAGTTGGCTCGCTTCCTCGCAGCTGCCGCCTCCCCTGTTGCTTGTTGCATATCACCTATTAAACTGTCACTGTTTGAACTTAATGCTATATACAATGCTCAGTGTTGCCAAATGTTGAACTTAATTTGTTTGGTATACAAAAATTACTGGAAAACACAGTAATTTTTGTTACCTACTTAATGTCGATTTCTAGGTAACTTACTTAATCATTAGCAGGTATTTTATGTAATAAGTAATAGGAGTTAAATAAATAAAATAAAATTGAAATTAAAAATCCTTTCATTTTATGCATATTAAAGTCTACAAAATTACGAAATTTTTTTTTTTTTACTAACAATATAATAATCAAACGCGTTATATTCAAATATTTACAAATGATGGGAAGTATTAAAGGCGCAAATGTATCGTTATTTTATACATAAAACGTTTAAATATAAATATAAAGAAAAGAAGTAACATACATTTTTCTTTTACAGGAAACTGAAAAGATGAAGCTGTGTATATATTTGCTTCTGAGTTTTTTGGGTAAGTTCTAAATGTAATATGTAAGTTAAAACAAACACAGATTCTTAGGCCATTTAATATGTATTTTACTAGCTGTTGCTTGCGACTTCGTCCGCCTGAAACTAATTATAACATGTCACTCACGGATAAATTACCTTTCTAATGGTGAAAGAATTTTAAAAACCGACCCAGTAGTTTTTACGTGAATACATACAAAAATATAAATCTTTCGTCTTTATAATATTTGTATAGATAAATATTATTTGGACTAAGGCTATGTATTCGATGAAATTCCGATTCAATATACAAAATAGAAGATGTGTGTTATTTAACATATTTGATATACTTATGTCTATGATAAAATACCCTTTATATCGAGCAAGAATATGACATAAACTTTAGGTTCTTTTACCCTGGAGGTCGATAAATTTTGTTGAAGCTCTCTTGTGAATATTATGTCATTGTAAGAAAGTTATCTTTGTATTGCTGGTATTTTTCTGAATACGATTTTATGTTATACGTATAAATAGTATTAGAAGTCATATATTTTTTATTTCCACTGTAGACAATTAATCAACATGTAGGAGATGTCAATAGTATGGAGGTTCAACATGAAATTGAAGTCAATATGATTTAATAAAATGTCATTAGTACGAACCAATAGATAGACGTTGATTTGACTAGAGACGTCAATAGTAGGAATGGTGGGTTGATAAGGGGTTCTACCAACAAATAGATTATGTTTAAATGTTTACGGAATTGCCTAAAATTTTCGCATTTCAACTTTAATAAATCCAATCAAAGTTTTGTAAACTAAGAGTGGTTAGAAAGTTCGGTTAAGCTCCTTAAATTAACTTAATTTCCTCAATCCGAGTGGTCCGAGCAGATAAATCCGTCAGCGCTTCGAGGGGATTTCCTTTAACACGAGCCGACCCAATTCTTAGACTTTTTACAATACCCGGTAATTACTAAAGTAATTTCTTTAAAAATTACACCCAAAATATTGCAGTTTATGTAGCATATGGAATTATAAAGATTCTACGGTATAAAATAATTGACATGATTTAACAAATTTCATTTGCTTTTTTTAGGTTTCTTTTGGGGAACATCACTACTACTACTAGAACTAGGCCAGAAACAAAATTAAAACAATTGCAATCATTTTAGAATAAAAACGTAAATACACTTCTAAATACCCTAGTAAGAACATATTTTATTCTTAAAGTCGAAAATTAACATCCACATGTAAAAGAAGTTTATTCATTTATGATATTTTCATAAGAAGTTAGGTAATAATGTAGAATGCCTGTTGCAGTTGCACCCGAGCGGTATATGGGAGCTAATGACGCGACGACGTCAAAGTTGCGCCTTAACGTAATATCTTTAGCATATAATTTGTGGCTCGTTTACATGCAAATGTCATTGGTGAAACCAGAGGGTCTATCACGAATGTTTTCGTAACGTTATCGACAAAATTTGTACAAGTTTTGTGCAATGCTCTTGCCAACCGTAATATACGCCAACAAATCTCATTCAAATTTTGTCGTTCAACTATCACGCAAATCTCCGTAACAGACCTTCAGAACTCGATTTAAAGTCAGTTTAATTCTTGCTTCATAACTTTCAATTACACATATAAAGCTATCCATTAGAAAACATTTTTTTGGTCTACTAAAAACTGCACTTTAATAAAACGTTACAAACTATGAGCTTCTTCAACTCATTATGATGGGCAAAATCGCAGGCAGAAGACGCGTTGGAAGGGAAAGGAAGTCATGGCTATTACATCCGGGAGTGAAGTATCGCCAGCGTCGAACATTTGGTTACCTTGGCATAGGACAAGGAGAAATTGACTGAGCTGACGGCCAACATCTAAGAAGAGTCATTAGAAAAAGAAGAAAACGTTACAATTAAAACATAAGTTGACCACATATTTACATGTTGATTTATACAAGCAATATACTCAAAAAGTCATACGGAACATTAAAAAAAATGAAAAACCTTTATAATACACAGAACGCGTTTATGCGATCGTAAAGTGTACGTTTCTCATAAAGTAGGTAGAAGAAGCATTAAGTAAGCTACGAAATGCTACGCTTGTCGAATAAAGTTGTTACGCGTAGCATTGCTCGCATCGAATATTGCTTTTAACTTATTAAACGACTCTATTTAAACGGAATTCAATAATATTTCACATTAAGTAAATTTCCCAATATTAGCCCACTCCTGTGTGTTAGCTTTTTAACTACTTTGATGTATTCTGTAAGAATACAGAAGAAGAAGGTTATTTAGTCTGTGCTATAAATCAATACCATTAGTCATAGTTTGAAATAACGATATGAGCTTCGTAATTGTGATCCGAAACATTATTTGAATATTTATGTCATGGTTTTAAAATGTCGTAATTCTACTTGTTATGTTGATAATCGGATGGTAGTCGGATGTCAAAATTAAGAGTGTTGCATCAGCTCGACGACACGACGGCCATATTGGTAAGGTTATTCTGTGCAGATTGGAGGAGAGCATGAGAGGTAAAGAAGACTATATTTTATTAAAGTATGACATGGCTGTGACGCCTACATGTGCATACATTTAAGTATTTTAACATTTGTTAGAGATAATATTTGATTTCTTTATAGTAGATCTGTAGACATCTATTGGTTACAATGTACTAAGTTAATAAGTATTAAGTTAAACTTTGTTATCACTTATAATATAATATCAGTTCTTATTTAGCGACAATAGTTGTTTAAGAATTTTTAAGAAACATTATAAACATGTAGGAATAATTATAATAAAAGCATTTAATTTGATTCATTTTATTTTAGGAGATCATTTTACTTAAGTACCTACTATTGTTTAATTCATAAATACACACATTCTATACGTACAGTGAACTGATTACAAAAACAAATAGGAACATTTTTCATAGTAGAATGTCTCTTAAGCAAAAATAGCTGCCCACAAATTTGTTTACTGGTCACGTAGCTTTGTGTATACCAGCGAATATCCAACCTTAACTGAATATTTGGTACATCGTATGAATTATTCCACGTTTTATTAAAATGACCCATCACAGAGATCATTACAATTTGTACGTTTTACTTAAAGTTTGTGAAAAATATGACAAAATGCATCTATGTTTTGTACAAATACAGTTCTACGTAATTACAGTACGCATTTCGTTTTATGGTATCAAATCTGAATCGGTTTCCAGTTACCATAGAATGACTAACCTCTACTATCTTGTTATGATTCTACTGTCTATCTGTTAAGTAGAAATCGGTACCACGTCGGAGTAGCGGCACAACACTAGATCATTGGCATATACGTCCCATCCCTATGACATCTGTCAATGCCATTCAGAAGGATTAAGGATAAGCGCGCCATTCTGGCGGGAATTAATAAACTGAGTATGGAAGTCGTTTTACGAGGTTACGGTTACTAATATAATAAAGCGTTAACTAAAACTACTTCACGGCGTAGAAACAATCAGCGCATATTTTTTTTAAATTCTTTCTTAATAGCCCTACACTTTACGACACGATTTAGGCTATGTATTTTCACGCTATTAAACTTAAGGGGTAAATAAATTGGAAAAAACCTTCATGTGGGAAAGGGACCATAAAATATAAGCTGCCAACATTAAGGAAGCAATGTTATTATGGTAACGGCAATTTGCCATTTGCAATTGACAATTTGACAATTGTAAACAATAAAGAAGTTTTTGTAATTTCATGCGGTTGAAGCCGCACGCGAACAGTTAGTTATTGTCTAAAACTAGATACTGTCTTAGCAGACTGGCTTGATCAAATTTGTAACCATAGTAACTATATCTAAGGTCTTTTCATTCATTTCAGTTTATTTTATGATTTTATTTAGTGTGTGACAGGACAAATGAGATACAATGTAAGGTGTTCATAAACAATTTGTCAGTCGCATGTGGCGCAGATAGTTGTCGTTTTATCAGCAACACGAACTCACATTAAGTATGTTGACGGGCAATTTGCTGGGGCGCACGCGTCCCGCAACCACAGTATATTACACTGTAGGACCTCCCGTGAGACCATTTGTTCATACGTATGTACGGCCGTGTCTAAAACTTTGCTTATACATGTATAAGTCTATTCAAGTTTTAGTTAGGTGATACAAATTTTTAAACAAATGTTTAATGATATACGAGAGATTTTATCTCTAAATTTTTTTACAGTTTTATAGTAAACTAGCTTTCGCCCGTGACTCTGACAGCGTGTATTTAAAAAAAAGTTGTATCCTATGTGTTCGTCCAGACTATCCTCTACATCTATACCAAATTAGTCGTTTAGGCTACAAACTCTAACAAACATCCATCCAACCAGCTAAATTCAACATTTATAATATCAGTATTGTAAAAGAAAGAAGTGTATGGTTAGGATTGGTTTTTGTGCTAAAAAATGATAATTCCGATATCTTGCTAAATCCCATTTTTGTGTAACAAAAACAATATAAAATCACAGTCTTTTGATTTTACGAGTTAATAAAAATACTTTGAAAACTATCGCGCAAGGAAAACAAGAATTGTAATTACATTTGAAGGAAAACAGGCTTTCCTCATTTTGCCTTTAATCTCGTCAAGATACGAAGGGTTGTAATTAAGACATCTGGCTTTATTCAGTAACCAACAAAAGTTTAACACAGTTCTGAATTACGAGTACGTTATTTGTTATTATAATACTCAGATCATTACCATCAGATATTGAATTACTCTGCCTTATTACAAAACGCGACATGTTTTGGAGAAGTTTTAACAACATAGAAATGTATGGAAATAACTTAATTACTTACCAGAAACAATACGTCGTTAAAAAGAACAGTTTATTGTTTCAATATGAATTCACAATCAGATTTTTTTCTGTATTACAGATGTGATTTTTTAAAGAAAACACGGAATCTTGGGACAAAGGAATTTTTACATAAATTTTTTTTGTTACCGACAACATGATAATTTTTCATACTTATTAAATTAATAAGGAAACTTGTAA